TTATTAATGTAACTTAGCCTCAGTTTTTTCTCCTTCTTTGAATTGGGAAAAACAAAGGATGATATTTTACATTCCATTTTAATTCGTCTTCTTATTTTTTTTTTTCTTCTTTCTTTGTGTCTTTTCTTCATTTTGTTTCTATCCGATATTATGTATGACCGCACCTTGTCTTCTATGTCATTGTTCAGGTCAATTTCCACGTTGAATTTTCTTACTGTTCTCTTCTTCACGCCGACCATTTTGTAGGGGAACGATCACAAGGGGGAGGTGCTGCTGACTGCTAACTTGCGTCCTTTCACACGGACATGGGTAGGTAAATTTATGGCACTAACTAATTTGTCACCCGAGGGGGGGGGAAAATAATAGTTGTCCTGTCTGCACGCCTACACGGGGTTTTGGCTGAATGTCCGGGTCCTCTTCTCTACCACTACGTACGTAAAGGGTGGTAAATACACACAAGGAAAAAATGATCTTCTACCACCCCCTTTAACATTTACACATTTTGTAAAATGAAAATGAAAAGTGGATGCATTTTGATGAAAAAAGATGTCTCTCCAACACCAGCGCAGTTCAGTTATGGTTAATTATTTTCATTATATGGCATCATACTTTGTTAAAGGCTTAAAAAAAGGAGAAGCGAAGAAGAGCCATATATAAACAGGGTGGGGGAACAAAACTCCTCAGCAAAATAAAGGGACGAACTGACTGGGGAGAAAAATCGAAGGACGCATACAAATATATGCAGCCTGGGAATGGCACAATAAGTCAAAAATGTTTGACGAAAAATTTCATGAAAAAAAAATGGATACAAATTTTCATGAAAAGTTTGCAGTGCCTGTAGAAAGTATGAATGACAGCAGTCAGGAAAATAAAGAAGATGAAAGAAAATATGCCCAAGAAAGCAAATCAACGCGTATAAATATATAAACTGTTCCCAATTGGGTAAACTTATATTGGGGACTTTTAAGTATATAATAAAATGATTGCTTACTTTTATTTTATATATAATTCATACGTATCCATTTTAAATTATTGGAAGGAAACGAAGTTTATTTGAAAAAATAAAAAAAAAACGTTTATTCGAATGGCCAAAAAATCAACGGCTACAGAAAAGAGCAAGCCAAAAAAAAAAAAAAAAATGGCTTGCCAAAATTGGAACAAAATAAAAACAGATGGTTTTTGCGCAAAAATGTAGAAAAATCGTGTTAGGTGTTTGCATTCGTAAATAAGAAAAAATACGAATGACAATTTTACATATTTTTCTTATATGTATATAATGCAAATATGTACATATGAAACGCATAAAATATGATAAGAGCGCAACCCTTTTTTTAGGCAGCCCAAAAAAACAGTGGCCACCCCCCTTCCCCATATGCTAGCCTTTTTCAAATAGTTGTGACTAGAAAAAAAAAAAAAAAACTTAACCACATTTTGACTAAACTCTGCAACAAAATTTCTTCATTATGAATACTGAAAAAGGAGCAAACATTTCGAATTGACATTGCAGAGAAAAGAGCTGTCTCGTGGTGTTTCCTTTTGGACGTGAAAATGAATGAAAAGGAAAAGGAGAGGCAGAAGGCCGACGAGAAAAAGTGTTAGTTTGGCTGCGACGTTTGTGTACATTTGTACACGTGCGCATCGGATGAAAAGAACATCACATGTGGGAATTTTTTTTTTGTTTTATTGCATTCTTTGTTAAAGCTGTAATTTTCCGCGTCTACACAAACATGTGCTGGTCATATGTTTTTTTTTTTTTTGTTTTTTTTTTTTTTTTCTTCCCACCCAATATATATGGACTACATCGCTCCCCCTCCCCTGTAGTAATCGACTTTGACGTGCAAAAGGCGCTGACAAAATTTGATATGAACAATTACAATGAAGATTTTGTGGTTACAAATAATATTCTCAAGTACCACATGAAGAGCATAGAAATTTATAACTACGAAAAAAATAAAATTTATGATAAGGATGAATTAAATTCATATAAAGATAAACTCATTCATAAGGACAACATCCATTATTATCCATATGAGTTATACTTTAACACGTACAGGAATATTTACAAGGAGGACAAAATGCTCCTCAACTTGCCCAATCGGGTGAAGACAAAGAAGGGGAAGGAAAACGAGGAGAAGGAAAGGGAAGAAAAGGAAACGGAGGAAAAAGAAACGGAGGAGAAGGAAACAGAGGAGAAGGAAACGGAGGAGAAAGAAACAGAAGCGAAAGATAAAGAAGACAACGCATCGAGTAAGGGAGAAACATGGCTCTTGGGGGAGAGCGAACAGGATGACACTCGTCGGCGAAGCGAAGCTGCGTTGTGCGAAATATGTACATGTGCATATCCTGTGTATACTCCCGCGCAGACACGAGACGGGTTAACATTTTTTTTTTTTTTTTTCCCACCCCGCACAGACACATTGGAGGAAGAGCAGGGACTAGAGGACGACTACAACTTTGATTATAACAAAAGTGAAGATGAGCTAGAGAATGAAGAAAATGATGAGAATGTCATATAAGTATGGGAATCTGAACGAGAAGGGAAATTCTCCTGACCGCTTCCTTTATTGGGGTTGCAAGTTTTCCATCCTTAGGCGCCTCAGAAAATTGCGTGCTGATCAAAATGGAAATTATTTCTTCTAAATCTTCGTAGCTGCCAAATAGGTAATTGCTCACCTCGTCTGGGGAAATAAAATTAACGTTCGCGTAGAGGTACTCGTTGGTGAATTCCCGGATCTTGGGGTATCTGCCATGGGCGGAACGGACATTTGTGAAGTGACAAACATTTGCAGGTGAGAAACATGTATGTGTGCGTTGCGCAAACAGCGCATGCGCTCCCGTAGCGTACTGCCCCGCCCCTTGACTAACCTGTGTAGGAGCATATGCAGGACCAGGAAGAAGGCCAGCCGCTTAACATTCAAGTTCAGAGTTGCACACATGAAAATATTTATTGTCAACTCCGAAATCGTTCGAACGAGCGCAAAGGTTCCATATTTTTCGAATGTGGACAGGAAAAAGTTTAAAAAACAAAAGGCCGTAAAATTATTCATTAGGGAAAACTTCACAAAAGAATTAACACTTTTTAAAAATGTCTCCAGTTGTATTAAGTTGAAATTATTCAAGTAGTATAAAATTTTAATTAAGCAAATGTTGACATATTCTAATAATTCAATTTTGTGTTGATATTTTTTTTTTATTTGTTTATTTGCCTGTCTCCTTTTTTTTTTTTTTTTTTTTGTCTTTCCCTCTGTCAACTCGCATTTCGTGCTCCCCTCACCACCGCATTCTTCATCAGTCAAAATAATTACATTTCTGTCGAAGAATATGTTATAATTATAAAATATATTTTTTAAAAAGGCAACCTGGTCTTCCCTTTTTTCGAGTGCAAGTATTTCTCCCAAGTTGATGTTGTGAAGGTGGAGGGGAAATGGGGGTTCCCGCGCGTCACCGTCTTTACGCTCATCTGTATCCACATCCACATCGTGCTTCTTACCGCTACACTTGTCACCACCCGCGTTGTGCCTTCTGCGCGCAACTCTCCCCTCGTTGAACGCACGCATGATCTCACTGACCTCCGCGTAGCCGCAGCCCATATAAAACTTCCTGTAGTACCTAATGTAGAGAAACAGGACGTCGTCCCGGATGTAGCCAAAGGTGCACACATCTTTGTATCGGACGAGGAAATCGAAAAATAAAAACTCAATAGACTTCTCCTTTCCCGTCTTCATCACATTAGTGTAGGCATAATTGCTATACTCGGTGTGAGAGGTGTAGTAACACAGGGTGTTAAAAAACCCGCTGATCAGGTAATAATTATATTTATTTAAGAAGAGCAAATAAAAAATGTGACTGTAGAGGTGCGTTTCGCTGTACTCCAAGCATTTAATTACGCTGATATTTTTTTTCGTTTTGTCTAGCAAGAAATGAACGTCTTTTATTAAATTTTGCTCCTCGACCCATACCTTTTCTTCACATTCGCTTAGGTTTATGTCGTCCACAAAGTCGTTGTTGATGAGGATGTTCTCGAATTGGAGGTCTCCCCGGGGGGAGTTAGCAGTTGCAGCGGCGCTACTGCTAGTGGGGGTGGCGCTTCCAACCGTGTTCAATGCGCTGGGGTCTGCCGAGCAGGCCTGTCCGCGCATGAGGCCCTTCCTCGTAGAAGCAAACTTGTTCTTGTGGAAAACGGAAAAACTCGTGTACTTCAAAGCATAGTTGTACAAATAAATGAAATTATTAATTTTGTTAAAAACAGTTTTGATGAGCCCATATTTGTAAGGGCGGTTCAGGAACAGCGTGGTGATTTCCTCCTCGTATTTGCAAGTGCAGGGATTGTTCATGGTTCCCACGGGATAACTTTTTAGCCTCTTTTCATTCGAACGATTAACATAATTTACACTGGAGCCTCCCCCGTGGCCCTTCAAATATATAGGCTCGTAATAATCACACAAATGGACCGTAACATTATTAAAGACGTTGTAAATATTCGTGCAGGATGTCCTCAAGTATTCATAAATGTTACGCTTACTTTTTCTTACATTATCATCCATTTTCTTTTTAAGATAAAGTTCGTATGGGAAATCATGGCAGTATTTGTTGAAGACGTTGGAGAATTCGAACGTCTCCATCTCCCCACAGGCATTAAAAGTAGCATAATTGTACAGGTAATTCAAAAGGAATAAGCACATTTTATTTGTCCTGATATTTTTTTCACACAATAATTTTAGCATCAACTGGGTTAGTATGTTTATATATTTTTTCTTAATCTCAAAAAGGACATACATAAGGACAACTTGGTCCTCTCCAACTGCTGTGTGAGAGTTGACCTCCCTTTCATGCTTTTCGTGTGCACATTCTTCCGCATTACTGCTTTCGTCCTCTCCACTATCATCAGAGTCGAACTGCTCGTAGAAGTAATTCTGGGTGGGTTCTTCCTTGGTGTGATTCTTCTCCCCGTTTGTCCTTACATTTGGGGTTAGCTCATTGTTCACACTCGTTTGTTGCGGTTCTACGCCCACCTTAGCTCTTCCCTTAGTTGCTGTCTCTTTCGCTCTACTCTTTCCCTGCACGATGTTACCACGCTGGAAAAAGTACAGCGGGTATGACGTTAACAGAAAGGCGGTTAGACCGAGACATATCTCCCTAACGAAGACGTGCGAATCGCCTATGTCACTCTCGTACACATATTCCTGCAAGTATAAAATCAGTACTTTTGCTATTTTATTAATATCTAATGATAACGGCAAAATATCCTTGTTTTGTTTTTTCCCTTCCTGTATAACTTCCTCCCAGGTGATGTTCTTCTTAACAAGTTTGACTTTTGGCTTCATATAAAAGGAGGTATTCCTTCGTTTTTCCCTTTTCTTCTTTTTCGCTTCTATATCCCCTATTTCTACCGTTTTGTCACATGCACATTTCAACATTGTTGAATATACTTCTCCGTCACTTCCCATGGTTGAGTTGTCCCCGAAGGAAGGCCACTTCTTCCCAGCAGTCGTGGCTCCACCATCGCCTTCCTCACCAGAGTACCCATTTGTACATTCTCCATCTGACTCTTCATTGGCAACGTTTATGTTGGAACAAGAGTTGCATCCGATACTACTTTCACAACTATTAACGCGAGAACTCTTTTGTCTATTACCCCCTTTTTTGGACCTGATGAGGCCCCTAAAGCTGGTAGTACATTCTTCGTAAAGGAACAAAAATTGGGATATGTATTTTCTCCTCAATTTGTCCACCACGTTAAACAAAGCGAGGAGGCAAAATATCTTCATGTTAAAATCAATAGGGTATAGTTCAAAGTTTATTTTTTTAAAAAAAAAAGGATCATTCTGAATAGGGTTGTTGTTTGTTACATCCGGTTTTTCTATATTGAGATCAGGTGAGGAGTCCATCTGATAATCCTTCTTCAGGAGAGCGTTCTTTATCCTGTAATGAGAGGAACACTTCTTTAAGATATAGTAGAACAATTTAATCAGGTCGGAAGAAACGTCCGGAATGAGCTCTTCGCTAACGAACAAAAGGAGAATGAAGTAACCCTTCAAATGGAGGAAATTATCCTTCTCCTTTACAATTTTTAAGATAATATTATTGTATATGTAATGAATGGCTTTGTTTCTTGGTAACAGACATATGGGCAAGTAAAAAAATATTTTGGATGCTTCATATTGTATAATTTCATTGTAGTGGAATAAATTATTTTGTAAAATGTCGAGAAAGAATGAGTGTGTCTTCTCCTTTACCAAGAAGTAATCACATTGACATATGCTTTGTATGAGTAGACATATTGAATGCCTTAGAATTTCTCCCTTTTTAAATTTATATATTCTTTTTTTTTCATTAAAAATTATAATTTTTTTAATTTCATTTTGTAAATTTTCATCAATATGTTGTTTTAATTTTAACAATATTTTGGAAATGCATGTGATGGATCCATGCTTTGTCCACACATTTTCTTCGTAGCTTTTTTTCACCAAGAAGGGAAGAACTACTTGTATGAAGTACTCTCCATTGTCGGAGGAGAGATTAGCTAGCGATTCGGCTGAAAGCAATCTCATGTTTACATTTTCGTGAAAAAGCTTAAAGGAATATAAGTGGAAAATGACTGGATATTTGTACAAAACGAATTTGCACACATTCTTTGTTTTTATGATGATGGACTTTTTCAAATTAATGAGTTCGCTGAAATTGCAGGTCGACAGAATATCAATGTTCATGTTGAAAATGTCCTGTTTGGATTCCTCCAGCAGTTTTCTGGTACCCATATGTGGGGTTTGGTCCTCTGGGAAGCCGCCTTCCTTTACATCATTATCCTCCTCCTCTACACCGCCCAGCTGCCCCTTCTGCAGCCCCTCATAGTACGCACTTACCGCATCGCAGCTAAAAAACAAGCTCACAAATGTAACCATATCGTTGAAGAATATCTCCCTGTTGTTGGGGGAATCCCCCGCCGAGGTACCACCCAGTGAGTACTCACCAAATTGGTAAAGAAAATTAAACTTGCCAATAAAAATTTGCAGCAGCGACATGGCGGACTTCCTCAAATTTATATTATCCTCGAATAAAGACAGAACTATCAACTTGGAGAATATCAGGTGGAAAAAAAAAAATTGAATCCCCTTCTCATTCTGCTCATAACGTATTTGAATAAACTTATTGTACTTGAAGAGACTATACAACAGAACAAATGTGCTCGCAAAAATTTTATCCTTGTTCGTATACAAACTTCCTACAATTTTCCGAAGAAGGAAGTTAATAATTTCTGTACACACACTTGTCTTGCCAAAGAGGTAATGAAATAAGGTGTAATTAATGGTACACCAAATATTGTAATCGTTGTATTTGGCTAGCTTGTTAAATTTTGTTATTATCACACGAACATTTTGCATGCTCAGATGGGATAATATATTTCCGAAGCTTTTGGAGAGGCACCACCGAATGTAGGTACTACTGTCGTTAAAATAATAAAACAGGAGGTTTAATATTTGTAGGATGTCTTTTTCAGAGGTATATTTTTTTTGTGCATTTGTGGGAAGGACTTGTTCTTCTCTTTTTGGCTGTGGAATCCATCCCTCCTTCGTTTCCTTCTGGTACATGGTAAACACCTCGTTGATGTTTAAATGTAGAGGGAATTTTTCGAACAGGTCGGAGTGAACAGGCTCGCTGGGGCTGACGTCACGCTGTGGTGTCTTCCCACGGGGAGAAGGGGGCGGCCCCCTCTGGGAAAATGTGCCATTAGGAGCAGCCTCACTATGTTTAGCTGCCTCACTACTTTTAGCTGCCTGCCCACTAGGAAGGGACGTGCCCGAAGATTTCTCCAAAAATAACGAGGCGTAATAACCGAGGCAAAGAATCTTCAGCGACTTGGACATTTGTGTAAAGTCCAAATGGAGATGATTTTGAATAAAAAAAAAATTATAAAAATTGGCATAATTTCTTAACACCCTTTTCTCACCCCTTTTCAACAACCTTTTATGAGTTAGTAAAACTCCGCATAAAACTATATTACTGAATTTAACATAACACTTCCCGGAAGCAATATTTGCACTGGTCACTACAAACACATCATCATTAAGCTGTGCTTTCTTCTTAGCCACGCACGAATTTATTTCCACCAATTTTAACATAAGTTCTTTGGAAAAAAGGATAAAGTTAGTGAAGTAAATTTTCTCATGATGTACATCATCCCTCCTTAAAAATTGTGCATACAAAATAGAACATGCTTCTTTCGCTTTTTCATTCTTCCCTACGTAGTAGTAAAATATTTCTTCAATGTTGACTAGAATATTTTTACTAACAGACACTAGATTAAAGGGGATGTACATGCAGAATGAAAGCCATATAAGTAGGATGTACAAAATGACCCATGCGTTGTTCCCATCATCCATTTTGTTGTACTTCAAATTTGTCAAGTGATTAAAAACGAATTCCTCTTCCTTCACATTCAGCAACAAGTTAACTATTTCACTTAAGCAGAATGAATCACATGGAAATAAAGTTTTAATTTTTTTTTCTCCCCTCACTGATATTAGTGTGTTGTAATATTTGTATACCTCCTCTATCACTGTGTACATTTTCAGAAGGGTTTCCTCCTCCTTTGTGTTTTGTAAAATTTTGTTACTCTTTCCCTTCTCTTCCTTTTCAGCGTGACTTCCTAGACAGTTTTCTGCTTCTCCGTTTGACTCAATGTGTGTCTTGTCCTCACAGTTGCTACTGCAACTCGTTTCATTTTCCCCCTGTTGGCTATCTCCCACATGATTTGAAAATCCCCTTTCCGCCAAAACTACCCCTTTTATGTGTTCACTATCACCATGTGCTCCCTCCAACTGCTTCTTATAATGAGATAGAATCCTTGTCAACAGGGTGAGGCTTTTTTTTAAAAAATTTAGAAATGGCTCCACCAGTAGAGTCAGGTGTGGGTCCAACACGGTTTTGGCTTCCCTATAGCTATTCAGGCAATTGTTTAAATAATTGAAATTTTCCAAAATGGGGGTGAAATTTTTTATCACTTCGTTATCGTCATCCTGGTCGAGGCACCGTCTAATCAGTTCTACTTTCTCTTTGACGTTATCATACTCGCGAAAAAACGATATTTTGTTTTCCATCTTTTGGGTGTGTGTGCAAGCGGGGGGACAGAAGAAAGCATGACTGATGTGCTGCTTTTCTCACCTCACCACGTGTTGTGTAGAACTTAATGGGCCAACTTACGCGCGGCATAAAACTATGACAGGAAAAAAAAAAAAAAAAAAAAAAAAAAAAACTGTTGAAGGCATCCCTTCGCAAGTGTTTCAACGGCCACACAGGTTTATCATCGTTCAGGCAATTTAGCCAATTTTTTCCTCAACACGCTTGATAGGCAGTCTGCCCGAAAAAAAAAAAAAAAAAAAAACTCAGCTACGTCACATCCGCCAGGCACATGTAGTGCTTGCACAAGTGCGTACATTCGCTGGACGATATTCACCCAACAAAATAAAAAAGAAATAGAAAAATATATTCGCATGGGATAGGCAAAGGAAAAAAAAAAAAAAAACATAAAAATAAAATAACTACATGGGAGTGGCCCAAAAAAAACAGCGCAATATTCCGAAACAACCTTACCCATGCAGTTTTCTCACCCACTAACAAGTTTGACGCAAAAATAATGTCAGACTCGGTGATACGTTATTTTCCCAACTTTGAGAAGAAGCCGGATATGCGCGAGAGCTTGTTCTCAAGGAGGAATAGAAAAGGTAGTACATTTGGGAGCGCACATTTTGTTCGAGACTACGGATGGACATAGGTCTCCCCCGAGCGAAAAAATACGCAAAAGTGTATAGGCAGTATAATATAGCATCAGACTTACTTCCTATATGCGGCACGTGTACTTATCTTTTCTTCGTTGGGGGATTCTCAAAGAGGAGTCCAACTTTTTGTGGGTCCTCTCAGACGTGTGCATGTGTTTCTATCCGACTCGCTTTCGTTCGCACGCGCCTTCGTATGTACGCCTTCGGTGACCTCTACTGTGCATAATACATGTGTCCACCTCCTATCCATACTACATGTGCCCTCCTCCCCGAGCAGTCAAGATCGCCTTCAAAAGCATCAGCGGAACGGCCGTTTTGAAAAAAAACAAAATACTTATTAACGGAAACGAAACTCTCGATTCTGTGCTCAGTTTCCTCAAGAAGGTGTTTAACAGAAATGAGCACATTGTAAGGAATGCGCCCTCAACCAGCAGGCTAAGAGCCGTACAGATGTTGATAAAACCATGTGTTCATCTCCTTTCTAAACATGGTGTGTACTTATAAGTGCCCTGTTGAGGAAAAAAAAAATATTTCTATTTCCCTCCCCCCCTGTTTTTTTTTTTATTGCAGTATCTGTATATTAACAACACCATAAAGCCAAACCTCGATGATTTCCTTGCGGACCTTTTTGATGTAAAGCTTCATAAAAAAAAAAAAAAAAAAAAATTGGAGTGGAAAAAGCACCACGTGCATACTATGCAATTGTGTGTGTATATGTAGTGGTAGATGTAACTGTGCATTCCATTTCATCGAACAATTTCCCGCCCTGTCCTTTTTCAGCTGTATCAAATTTCGAACTGTCTAAACATCTCATATAGTTTTACCCGCGCGTATTAAGAGGTAAGGGGAAAAGTGAGTATGCCACGAGGGAGGTGCGTACGGCAGAGGGAATGAAAAATGCCCGCTTCATCGTGTAAAAGAGACTACATAAGTGAGTTTGTTCTGTGGACATGTAGAACTACGTACTTATGTGCCTACTCCCCTGCTGGTGGGCTATTTTAAAACAAACGGAATAGCTGCACACAAAATAGAAGCAAATTTGAGGAGCAGGCTTGCCCACAGCTTCCCCTGTTACCTAAGCTTATGTTCCGTGGGCCATTCGATGGGGTTTGAGAAAAAGCAACAAAAAGGGAGTACAACTTTTCTCCTAACTGTGATCAATTCCCCGCCACCCCCCCTTTTATTTTCTCCCTTTGTTGTGTGTCGTCCATTTTCATTTTATTTTTTTCCCCTGTTGTGTGTCCCTTCCCCCGCCTTGCTCATGTTTTTATTTAAATTGTATCTCTTGGAAAAGCTGACTATTTCTCCGTCGCTGCTTCCTCCGCAGCTACTGCTTGCACTGCTGTCGCTGCTAAGAGAGTTTTTATCACTACGCTTATTGGGGGGAAGGAACGAGTTAGTGGTTCCCCCCTCATTTGCGCTTATTGCGCTTCTTGCGCTTTTTACACTTTTTGCACTTTTGCCTACGTTTGAAGAGTTGACACTTTTTTTACGCGTACCCATTTTTTTGCTCAGTTTATACATTTGGGAGTTAAATATAACCTCCTCAAGCTCCTTCCGTTGTTCCTCCATTTGACTTTCCATACTTCGCTGATCCATCTTAATCTTATTTTTTTTTAAACTTTTAATGTTATCAATATATTTTTTAATTTTTTCTTTATTATTTTTTTGTTCTTCTTCTAACATTTTCATTTTATCATTCAGGTAAGCAATTTTGGCACTCTGTTGTTGTATTTTTTTTTTACAGTTTTCGTTTTCTTCTATTTTTTCCCTTATGACTTTGTTCAATTTTTGTGTCTTTTCTTCCAGTGCCGTAATTTTGCTCTCCTTGGAGTTTATATATTCATTTATTTCATCTTGTTTTTTTAAATTATTGTTTACGTCCTGTTTATTTTTTGCATTTTCATTCTGCAGAAGTTTGATTTGTCCCTCCAGGTGTTTTATATTTCCATACAGAACATTTATTTGTTTGTCTTTTTCATGTATCTCTTTCATTAAATTGTCTTTTTCGCATTCCACGTGAGAGATGTGCGCACTTTTACTTGTCCCTTCCTGTTCCAGCGTGTTTATTTTATCCTCCAGTTCGCCTTTTTCCTTTTTCCGTTTGCTTATTTCCTGCACAAGACATTTTTCATTTTGCTTTAATTTTGCAATGTCCTTTTCCTTCTCGCTGCATATGCACTGTAGTTCTTTGCACTTTTTCACAAAGTTGGCGATCTGAGGGGTCAGGAGGGAAGCGTGAGTCCATGGAGGTGCGTGCACCATTGAGCGTATATAGGCACACTTATGCATATGCCTGCCCCGGCGAATGTTCCACACCTGGGACGAAAAGGACTCGTTCTCCTGTTGAAGGCTATCTATTATATCCTTATTTTCGAGCAAAACTAAATTCAGCTCCTTTATTTTGTTAATTATGTTGTCCTCCTCTCTAGCAGCTCCATTGTTGCTCGTCTTCACAAATGCATTTCCGCTGTTGCCGTTGTTGCTATTATTGATGCTGCTATTGTCGCTGTTTCTTTTTGTGTGCACTTGGTTTTTTTCTTCTGCGAGTGGGGGAAGAACGCACAACGTAATGTAAACTGTCCTCGCAGCTAACAAGTGGGAATTATTTTATATATTTTATTTTTTATTTTTTTTTCCGCCCTTGGCGCCACCACTGCAGCGTTCTGCTTAACTTTTTGGAGGATACTGTGGACTTTTTGCGGAGCCTTTTTTTTTATCTTTTAATTTGTTCATTTAAATTGAGCAAAAAAAAAAAACAAAAAAAAAAAAGTAACTTTTGTCCTGTGGCGCCTGTACCCAAAAAATGAACTACCAGGAATGCCTCCACAAGTTTGTTAATGCTCATTCGGATAATTTTCGGCAGAGTTTTTACGCCGTCGTGGAGAGTTCACAGGTGAGAAGTACACTGACGGGGGATAAGGGAAGAGTTTCTCCTACATAATTGTGTGCATGAAAAAAAAAAGGGGAGAGATGTACAAAATTTCAATTTACCTCTTAACACTCTGCATTACCAGGCCTCCCTTTTTTGGTAACGCGGCTGGTTGACGCTGTCTTTTTGTGATATGCCTCATGTTGTGTTTTTTTTTTTTTTTTTTCTTCGCAGATAGAATGTCTTGAATGTCCCATAGAAAAAACGAGCACAGATAATTTCCTCATCAAAATATATATTAACAATATTGTAAGTTAAAAAATATCGTACGAATGATTATTGCACATGAGGAGTGTTTCTCTTAACGCGCATTTTAACTCACTTTTATCCTTTTTGCTGTTTTGTTTTACTCATTAATTTATTTTTTCCCGCCAATACACAGATACACAACATCCGCACTTTCCTGCTGACTTGCTTGAGCGGATCGGTGGGGAATATTCTCCACAACACGCACGTAGATAAGCAGGAAGCGTGTTACTACCTTACGGCTGACGACGAGTGGGCGGCTAGCAACAAAGGAGAAGAAAGGGGCCCAACCGGGGACGCAGGCCAACCTGGCCAATGGGAGGAAGGTAACCCAAATGGCGAAAACTCCATCAGGCAGTGCTTCAACAAACAGGAGGATTTTTTACGCATGTGCAAGAAAGTTCATAGCCTTCGGAAGAGTTTGGAAAATGCCCACGTAAGAACAGGAGACACTTTCGGCTTTAGGGACGACATTTTGCGGTACTACATATGACCGTTATTTTTTCGTGTGCAATTTTTGTCCTCCTTATTCATGTGGGCTCCCCCAGGGGAACACACACACAAAAAAAAAAAAAAAAAAAAAAAAAAATACACACCGCATGATGCGCATATTACTGCGCATGTGCACACATCGGATCTTAATTGGGGAGCCCCATCCAATCCGTGAAAAACAGCAGCCACGTGTTGCTTGACATGGCAAAGCGCCTCCTATCCTGTTTTATTCTTTTTGGTGGAAATGTATACATCCTCCAGGCGGTAATTCTTATACTGATTGTCCATCTCCTTATCCATCCTGGTCTCGAAATTGTAGTTAGACGTAATGTTAAAATTTACCATCGTATTAACACAGTCATAAAATTTTTCCACATTACGCACAATGCTGGAAATTTTATTGTTTAGTAATTCTCCAAAAGATCTTGAACTGTATATTTTGCCATTCAAAATACAAAACATCTGTATAACCTTTTTGCATATAATATTTTTTACTTTATATTTATGTGTTAGGGAAATGTGAAAAATGGAATTTGTATTGTAATAAATGTGTATGCTGACCAAATCATGCGGCTCATTATTTTTTAAAACATTTAAATTGTCGTAGGTGATGTCAAATAAGTATCCCTCTTCGTCATCACTGATCATTCTCCCAACTCGTATTTTTTCATTTAACGACAGATGACTTCTACTTGTATAAAATGGAGACGTGTAAAAATAATTCAATGCATTTTCTCTGTTATTCAAAATGTTCTTGGACAAATATAGGTTATCAACGTATTCGATTTTGTTTTCCTTTTTAATCTCTGGTTCGTAGTACTCTTCCGGGGAAGCCATTTTTGTTCTTCCGTTGGTCGCTAAAATGAAGGGGCAGGCATGTGATCAACTAATCAGCTTATTATAGCAGGTTATTCCACCCCCCCTGCATCTTTGAGCAGCAGACACGTATATATTCACACGTATATAAATCTGTGCAGGTACATTTGCAGCACTTGGCAATACGGCTTAACTTTTCCCAAGGGTTGGACTCCTCACTTGTCCTAAATTTTGCATACCCACACAGGCGTTATTCCACCACAAAAAAATATATTTTTTTTTATATCCTTTTTTGGGGAAAGTGTATTTCCCCTTGTTAAAAATATGTCAATGGGACTTATCGCGTGTGCGGCAAACATGTACACGCAAAAGATAACCTTGCATTCATTAAAAAAAAATATAAAAAAAGGAAAACATTAAATGGTCGGTGGGTTTATACTCTCCCCTTTGTCCTGCTAATGCTTAAGCGGAGATGACATGCTTACATACCTACAACTCCACAATTGAGGAAAAAAACGGCGCTCATTCGGTATGGACAATATGAGGCAGAGATTATCAGCGCGCCTCCTCTTTAAAAGCAATCCCCATTTGTTTCAAAAAAAGGAGAAGCAAAGTGTATGTATGTGCTCCCACAAATGTAATTAGTTCTCCCTTTTTTTTTTTTTTTTAGGCTTGCCCCTACATTTGTGATTTGCCCCGTTTTTCCCCCCACGGCGCGAGCCAAATGGTATATGAAGAGAACACACTATGGTCGATCGAACTACGTCACTGCTGCGCACCAAAAAAAATAAAAATGGAACACATAAAACCAGGATAGCGAAAATTAGAACAGTGTAATCCTGCACAACGAGCAAATGCGAATCTTTTCTCACATGGAACTTCGTTCAAGTTGCTGGCAAGAACAATTTGTCATCCTTAAGTTATTCCTCCCGAAAAAGGGGAAAATCTGTACGAACGTCAAACCCAAGAACAAACAACGTCGGCACCATAATTGATGAATTTACCTTCCATTGAGTCTGCTATAATTGTTTACCGTTCATCTGCCACATCACATTAACGTACAATCCCCGCTGTCACCCTAAAGGGCAATCACCTTTAACGCGCAGGTCTACACCTCCTGTGCAATCAAGCAGCTCACCCCTTTGCTGAATTTGTTTTTTCTTTTCCACCGCCAAAATGTGTAGTAATACAAAACGGTAAAAAAAAAAAAAAAAACAGCAATAAATAGAACAAATAGAGAAAAGTTAAATTATTGTTAATCGCTACTTTTTAATTACATATATGTTTAACAAATGTTGAAATGTACTTTTTGCAAAGTGCTCCCTAGGAGGCTGAACTGCGAAGCGCGCATGTTCATGTATACACGTAGGTGCACATCCGCAGTGCACTTGGAACTACGTGTCTCTTCGCCGTCCATCACTTTGCCGCTTTCCTCCCCCCCCGTAACCCTAACTCATTCGAAATGGTTAGAGACAAAACATATACAGGCACGAATGAACGTAAAAATGTGCACAAATAAAATGGGCGCAATAAGATTAACACAAACACACATCCATCATGTGCGTTTGCCTAAGTATACGTGACATTCGGAGGGAGGAAAAAGGCCTGCAGAATTTTTTAAAAAATGGGGAGGAATAAGTAAAAAGACTGGCAATATATAGCCAAAAAAAAAAAACACAACATAACAGTTGTTAATAAAAAAGGGAAAATGACAAAGGGGGTGAAGATAAAAAAAAAAAAAAAGGCAAATAAAAGAAAATATAGTGGCAGAGTGTTGATTGAAAATCCTGTCGCTGGATGCCCATGTGTGCCCCCCTACTTGTACGAACTTAGCTTACTAAAGAGTTCCCTTCTTTGTTCAGGAGGCAAACTTTGAAAGGCCGTGTAAAACTCGTCCAGCGTTTTCCGCTGCTTCAGATCCTTCCTTAATCGCTCTATATCCCTCAGAGTACTTTCATTTAAAATTCTCCTGCACACTTCGTAGTCGTCTTCGTCCGAGGAGGACATGTCATTGGTGAGCTTCTTAAATTCTTCACTTTGGGTCAACGCAGTTCCGTATTTTTTGCTAAAGGGGTGGAAATCGGGCAGTCGATTATGATGTTGGGCGGCTACTTATCGAGGCAGCATGCATGTATATACGCATAAATATAGATGGACACATTCACACTTTACACACACGCGTGTGGGTGTTTTATTTTTCCCGTAGAGAAACCTACCTCAGCGTGCTCATTAGCAAGCGCCGCACGAGGCGGTAGTAAAAGAAGGAACGGGCTTTCTCCCAAGGAACGATTTTCCTAATCACTCCCTTTGACTTCATGCATTGGGATACGTCATGAAGATCTGCGTATCTGTGACACACTTGCAAATAAAATGGCAACAGCTCTTTTTCTTTGTCCTCTATTTCTTGTTTTATTCTAGCTACGTCATCCTCCTACATGGGGTGGTAATAAGGGATTGATGATGAGTGCAGGTGGGAACACGCGGGGGGGGCGATGCTTCCACTACGCCACTATATCCAACACGATTATCCACCCTACCTGCGCTTCGGCTAGCCGTTTGTCCAGAGCAATTATGGACGAATCAATCCCATGCATCAGCTTCCTAATTTCAGGTAACCTAAACTTCACCTCGACAATCCCAGGTGGCTCCAAAATTCCCCCTTTACTGTTCGTATCCGCATACATCTCGATGATTTGGCTATTTAGCGTTTCGTCCACAACAACCCATGACCCACCTCTGAGTTCGCCCCAAATTGGGATGTACACAAAAACGGGGTGCTTGTAATTAACCAACTGATTAACAATCATGGACCCGAATTTTAAAATGCTGTTAAACATATCCATGGTGCCACCTGAAAAACCCCTCCAGTTGGCAAAAACAAATAGGGGTAAATTTTCTTTATTAAAGTCTTCAATTGATTGAGCTGTTTTGTATGAATTGTCTGGGAAAAAAACACATGGTGCGTGTGTTGACCTCACTGCTTTAGTCTTCAATGCTGGGTCACACGGAATATCCTGCGTTACTAAATTTCTGTTAACAGCTATTATTCCAACGGGGATAGAACCCAATTTCCCTCTCCCCGTTAGGATCCCTTTTCCCCATTCATTCATATATTCAAAGTAGCTATTTTTGTCTAAAAAACCCTGCTTCGTTTCTGAGCCTCTTATCAGATCTACCACATCTGCGTTTTGTACATAATCCATGTCTATATCGTTAATTGTGTGGAAGTACATTTTTGAAGGTTCCCTAACAAATGTGGGTTTCTTGTCCGATTGAGAAGCTTCCTTTACAGCGCTGTTTACCTCCTCCATATTACCCTCCTCACAATGGCTAAATTCATTTCTCCTCTCGCGCGCCTTTTCAATAACGTCGTAGTAGTGGTTACTTGTTTTGGGTACATAGGATAGCCACTTGAAAATTTTGTCGACACCATCCTGATCATTTTGAGCTTCCAGTTGAGATATTCCATTCCTCATCATAATTTTGACCCCTCCCAATTGTTCATTGCTGACGTAGACCTTTTCCCCTAATATTTTATTTAGCGCGTTAAACCCTGTTAGTAAAAGAGAAGAACCTTTTTTCTGAATTGTTCTTTTTCCGAGTCTAACAAGGTAAGCACCGATGCCAACACTCCGTCCAGTGACATAGGATAGGGTAAAAATTTCATCATACGCTTTGGATGTTTCACCAGCAATAAGACCACTCCCCCTTAAATTTTCTACTCCAATATGATTATTTAAATTCCCTACTATACCTTCTATTACGTATCTCTTCTCCCCATTGTGAATAAGTTCCTTCAAGAATATCATGTCCTCCTTGGCTATCCTATTTTTCACATCTTCTGTTATGTAAATGTAGTCATACCCGAGTTCCTTTTTTTTTTCGTCTTTCCAACTGACCTGAATTTTGTCCATCAAAAAATTATACAGCCCAATTCTCGCACCTGAATTGCAGGATATATAAATGCGAGGAATTTTTTTCTCCCTGGCGTAGCTAGATATGGCATAGAATAGCTGGTCTTCCACTACACTGAATGAGCCACCATGCGTCGTTATGTCATTTAAGATAAAAATGACGTCTCTTCCTTCTTTGTATTCGATTGTCTTCACGTTCATCAAGAGGCCGATGACGCTCAGATTGTTTTGCCCCACGTTTAGTTTGTCCGACAGGTACAGCGCCTTTCTTATCTTCACTTCGTCCTCGCTGCGGCCCTCGTGCCGTAGAAACAGCCCAGCGGAATGGGACGTGCCGTTTTGATCCATATGGGACGTGGCGTTTTCATCCATATGGGGCTTGGACTGCTTCGCACTGTTCCCCTGCAGTGCTTCCAAGTCCAACCTAAACTCCCTGACGCTGTTCACATATGTGAACAAATCCTCGGGGCCGCTCTTGTTCACCCTGTTTAGGGAAATATTTATAGCCTTGACAAAATCGTAGGCATATAACGTATCTATATCTCTAGCCCTCTTTCTTTTTAAGTACAACGCGTCCACATCAAAGGGGGGTACACTGTCCACCTCTTCAATTACATTATTTTTTGCGTCGAACAGGACGTGCAGTCTGAGTACCTTTGTGGGTACTAATTTGAGACTCCCCTTGGGGAAATTGCCTCCTTTTCTGTACACACAGACGTATACATCGTTCACGTAATTTTCTAGAAGCAACTCGTTATGCTTATTGAGGAAGTTCTTGAGCGCTGCTTCAATTGTATTTAATTCGTCTTCTTCCTTCCCTTTCTCTTGATCTAGTACTACATGGTAAGTTATGTAGCTGCTGACCTTTGTGTCCCTCACTTTTGGATTCAGTCTAGCTAGTGCTATATCCTTCACCGCTTCTTTCAACTCTTCCGTGAGTGCGTCCTGTAGCCACTTATGTTCCATCGCAGGGGGTAATTCTTGCTCTCCCATGGTGTTCTCCCCTTTTGGGGGATTTTCCCTCAGTAGAGACACTCCGCCCTTTGAAAAATCACACACATGGACCACCCTCTCTGCGAACAGAGATTCTATTTTGTTATTCTTTTTGTACATCCCCAGGAATACCTTGGTCCCTTTAAATATTTTCTCATCTACACTTTGCAGGTCATAATTTTTGCAGCTCTTTTCAAAGGAGAAAATATATCTTTGGTAAGGCAGCATATTTGTCCTGCTCCCAGAATGGACCTCCTCCCCAGTGTCTTCCTCTCCAACCCACTCGTAAACATCCCCGTACCTGTCCCCAAAATAATGATAAATGTACAAATGCTTGCACCTATTCTTTATATGTCCTATACTCCCTTCATAATCATTAGGGAAACTTTCATTTTTATTAATAATATGAATGCTGTTTATGCGTCCACCAGAGGGATTAATCCCCCCTTTGGCAATTAACTCATCCACATATACCCTACTTTTCTCATTTAGAATGAGTAAATGTTCCTCTTCCGAATCTTTTATAAAAAATTTCAGACAGTCATCCCCCACTAGTTCTGTTTCTACATCAAAGTGTTTATATAAATTCTGAGCATATATTTGTAGGAGAGTATTTTTATTTTGTGGGGTAAAGAGGGATGGAAGGAACATGTGCATGTTGGAAGGGGTTCCCAAAAATGTATTCACTACACGTTCGCAATGGTTGCTGTAGCTGCTGGAAGTAGAAGGGGATGTAGATGCACCACTTCGCAGTTGTCCCAGTCTCGAATGTGTAACGATGCTGTGCTTCATTTTTATATGCTCCTCCAGTTGTTTAATTTTGTGACCACAATTGGGAGTCCTATCGTTTAATGCATCTTTTACGAACTGAACCAAGCTCATATGTTCCGCGATGTGTACTATCGCCATGGCCAGCAAAATGATGTTTCCAAATGATTTCCCTCTAAAGGATGTTATCATTTTTAGCTTATACAATAGGTCATCTGGCACCTCACTCAGAGAGGTGAACCCACTGTCTAATAAATATTTTAAAACTAGCTCCACAAATTTTATGCTTAAGTAGTTATACGTATACGCATGTGCAATTTCATATTTTTTTTTCTTCTCGTTCCTAAACGTAGTATGCAAAATATCGTAAGCTTCTACCTGTGTGATGTTTTCTGTTTTCGCAAATAAAGAATTGTATTCTGTAAATTTGTCTAGGATGTAAATAAAGTTAGAGTTGATGTTGTTTTTCTCTTTCACTAATTCGTTGAAGCATTTTTGGTAATCCTGTTCATATCCTTTTAGCAAATATTCTACTCTCTTCATATTGGGCATGTCCAACAGGAATTGTTTTTTTGTGGCGTCTCCACCTGTGCTCGGGTGACCACTTGGAGAAGCCACCCCTGGGGTGTCCCCCCCCACGTGTGTGAAACTGATTGAGGTGCATTTGGAAGTGCCTTTTGAAGCACTTTTTGATGCCCCCTTATTCTCCGTGTCCCAACTTAGGGTGCCTGTGTTGGATGCCTTCTCATTGGAGCCATTCCTCGTGGACACAACTGCGCTCGACACATTATCATTACGATCCCTCTTCTCACTCGTTGAAGAGTTTTCGCAGGTTGAGTTAAGAACAGTGGAGATGTCTCCCCGGCTTCCACCTCCCTGGTTGGCACTTCCCGACTCATCATTCATAGTGTGCGAGCTGGACGACACATTCGCGCACTCCCTAGATTCAGAATTGGCGTACGACTTGTTCGACTCCGCGGCTGCCTCCACATCTGCCTCCACCTTGACGCTCGTGCTGGTACTCGTGGGTGCCGCCGAACTTTCGTTGGACGAACTCAAACTAGTGAGGTACGCCTTGAAGGAATTAATTTTCTCGTTTACGTAACTCGATGCAGTGTGTTCTTTTTTATCACTGGTCTTTTTGCTTGCAAATAAGCGGAATATGTTTTTCTTCTGCTTTAGGAATAGCCGGTTCTTTGTCATCCCTTCCCTGGATGACACATCGTCCTGTTCGAAGGAGGAGAAGAAGGAGGAATCCTCCGACTTGGGGCCATCCACAACGTGTGTCTCATTGGTATTTTTACTCAGACGATGCATTCCACTTCCCGCATGGTTTGGTACACCCTTCAGTGTCTCCTCCTCATGATCATTTGCAACTCCCTTATGCAAATGACTTTTGCCCTCCTTTTGATCGGTAATAGGCCAACCACCTTCTGCAGACTCATCCATGGTGGTAAAATTGAATGGAACATCCTCCCCCCTAAGGGGGTGCGGCAATGTACTCGCTTCCTCCAACTCGTATGCGTACTTATTGGATAAGTCCAAATGTCCAGTGAAGGTTTTAATTTCGTTTTTCTCTGCCCGCTTCGTGTTACTATCAGGAGAGGTTTCCTCAATGACGCCGAGGAGGTCCCCCATTTTAACCATGGTACCCTCGGACATTCTGTGCCTGAGTATACCTTTCTCTGTAGACTTAAAAGTCATAATCATTTTCATCGCCTCGACTTCAATGTAGTCTTCATTCTTCTCGATCTCTTCTCCATCCTTAATCAAATATTTTACAATTTTCCCATTCGTATTAGAAACCAAATGAAATGGGTTACTCATCTTGGGTATAAAAATACTGTCCTTTTCCAAATGCATGTGGATACCTAAGCTGTCTTCCAAACATGTATACGAATATGTATGGTTGGAAAAGGTCGCAAATATTTTATTATTTTTTTTATCGTAATCAGCTAGCACTTCTATTTCCTGTCCGTTAATTTTTAAAGTATAAAGATTCTCCCCTGTATTATAGCCCTTAAAATTATACCGCACATTTTCAAATACTATGTCAAATGTGTACGCATTTTTTACCTCCCTTTTCAAATTAGCCAAGGAATCTTCCTGTGGCTTAAATCCTATGTCCTCTCTACTGAGCGCATCTTCCACTTGTTCTTTTTCCTTGGTAAAATGAATGAGTAGTTTAAAAATCGTAGCACACAGAATTATTATATGTACTGCGCTGTAATAAATATATTTTTTTTTTTCAATAATTCTGTCTAACCAATTAGTTGTTATATTATTCTCAATAAATGGTTTGCATTCCAAAATTTTTGCCAAGTATTTTGTGACTGTTTTTATTTCCCCTTCTATGTTTAATTTCCTTAATGCAAGGATTAAATTTTTTCTGGCTTCTTCCCTTGTTTCTCCCTTTGCAAAAATGTGCCCAATTTGTGAATCGGAGAATTCATGCACAGATCCATCATTGATGGAAAAATATCCCCACACGTCTTTCGAGTTTTGGAAATGGATTCTTTGTACCTTTCCCGAAGTGGGCTTAAAACTGTCATTGCTGTTTTCTGCGGTGATTCTGGCGGCAATCACGTGGTTGCTTATGTGCGGTCTGTTGTTGTAGAAGTCGAATGGGTTCATGTCTTCCGCGCGGGGGGATGAGAAGTCATTACTTTGGTCTCTTCCCTTTTCGCGGTCGCCTAGAGTCCCATTGCTCGTCTTCGCGAAGGTGTCCTCATCCCCACAGAAATAGCTATCACTATCGCTAACAGCACAGCTAACACCACCGCCGCTCTCACTTCTCTCGCTTCTCACGCTGCTACCCCTTGGAGGGGTGTAATCGCACACCGCACCGAACCTGTGCACGGCCTCCATCGGCGCACGAAAACTCTCCCCCCCGCTCTCTTCCCCTATGCGGTACAACCTCCTAATGTCCTCTATATTTTGGAGGGGAATTCCCATGGCCACCTGCAGCTGTATCGAAATAAGATTGGTGTTGGTGATGCCCTCCGACACGGGGTGTTCCACCTGCAACCGAGGATTTAATTCGAGAAAAAAATAAGTCTGCTTCTCCTGGTCATATAAATACTCAATGGTTCCGGCACCTCTATATTTTATCATTTTTGTTAGACGTATGGATGCCTTTTCCATTTCGCGGAAAATGTTTGGAGGTACAACTGACGGGGGCCCTTCTTCAAAAATTTTTTGAAATCTCCTTTGGGTCGTGCAGTCTCTTCCACTTAGAGAGCATACATTACCATACATATCCCCAACAACCTGTATTTCTATATGTCTAACATTGTTACAGACCTTCATTAAAAAGATTGGCGAGTTGGGTAATTCCATCTGTACTTGTGTGTAGGCTTTTTTTATTTCCACTTCGTTTTCCACTTTTCGAATACCTTTCCCTCCCCCTCCTTGAGATGCTTTTATCATAACAGGGTACCCGATCCGTTGGCACTCCTTTATGCACTCATCTAATGAATGTATGGTAGACTTATTGTATATGTCTTCACTAATTTTTTTTTCAAAATTATCAACTCGGATGCTATCTCCACTCCACTTTACCACTGGTACATTTACACTCTGCGCGAGGATATTGGCGGATATTTTATCCCCTAGGGCTTCCATTACATCTCCAGTTGGTCCTATAAAAATAATGTTTTCCCTTTCCAGCATGGTGGAGAGTACAGGATTCTCTGAGCAGTGTCCCCATCCTGGCCAGACGGCATCGACTTGTTCCTTTTTTGCTATATCTACAATTAGCGGCACATTGGCATAGTTGTTGGAATTCTTCCCAGGAGGTACCTTTACAACTTTGTTCGCCAACGAAATATATTTTGCATTGCTTGTTATATCTTCTTCTGTGGCTAGCACTATGATCTTAATTAAGTTTTCCTCAGAGAAGGACTTAAAAAGCCATTCCTTTATTGAAAGTATGCACTTCATTGCTGCCATGCCGTTATTTGCAATTAGTAATTTTTTTATTATCTTACCATTTTTACTTTTTACAAAATTAAAATATGGATACCTTCTCTCTTCTATATACCTTGTGTATTCCTGATGGGCCTTTTCTTTTCCCCTTTGTTTTTCTTCGTATGTTAGGAAGGCTGTGGAGTCACTTGAATGGCTTGCAGGAGAAGCAGCAGTATCAATCCCATTGTTATGCCAGCTCTGTGACTTGCTACCGTGCGCTCCTCGCTGCCATACGTGTGGTTCCTTTTTCTGTATTGGACAGGCACGTACCGGATCGAGGCACACATCCCTGGGTTCGTCACCCCCACAAGTGCCGTCCTTTCGCGAGAGAAAAGCATTGTGGCCCCTAAAGCTGTAGTACAGTCTATTCAAATATTTCTTCCTCTGTTTTACCTTCCCTTTGTGTAGCCGTCTACCATCCATTAGTACATCTCCAGAACGATCCTGCCGAATCATCACATCGTCACTCTTGTAGTGTATGGAGGAAGAGGACCCCTTAATCAGGTCCAACATAAAAGTAAAATTGTGTTCTACATTGTTTTTCCTTCTAACACTCATTTTGGCAACATCCCAATTTGATATTACATCGGACATTTCCCCTGGGCTGTAATTAGCTGTAGTCATATAAGGGTTGCCGTCGTTGTTCCTACTCTCATTGGTCATATTCCTTGGGTAGTGACTTCCTCCTGGACTGTACTTCCTATTGTGATGATCATTCGAAGTGACACTCATAAAACCTTCATCCGTGTGGCTACTGAGGCTGCTAAGCAGTTCATCTGTTACTTCTTCAATCGCGCTTTCCTGCGAGGTACCTTTACTTGATTTCCATTTTCTCCCATTTGAAGACCTGCTTCTAGTGCCACGCGCAGACGTATTCTCATTAAACGAAGAGAGGGCACTGTTCTTCCCGTTCTTCGAAATATGCGTCGAGTTATCTCTACTTCCCCGTCTGGTATTCTTAAAAAACGAACTTAACAGTTCGGTTCCCTTGGACACGAACAGTGGTACATACCTGTTCCTGTAACCCTCATGAAGAATATTCTTAGTACCCTTTATTCCACTCTGATATGCTTCCCTCGTTTCTGTGTTGATAAAGTTGTTCCTATTGACATTATTATGCATGTGTACATAGCAATTCGTATTTTTGTGTTTTATGGGCTCTACAAGGTTTTGGAGTAACAGAACAAGAGAAAGTGCTCCTGTGAGGCCATTAACCATTTTCTGCCTTTACCCCATTTAATTGCCTTGCGATGCTACCGGGTGCGCGGCGAAGCGTGCACAAGTAAGGACGAGCAAGTTATGTGACTACATACAGCGTGCCCTATATGCAGCCTCACTACATACAGAGTAACTACATACAGAGTGAATATATAATATGTGTACGGTACGTGTAAGTGTGAGAGCTGGGTTATTTACTCTACGTACACGTTGTAACTTTCCCCGCACGCGTAATTTTTTTTTTTTTTTTTTCTCCTTTTTTATTTCTTTTTTAACACATGCATGCGTCTTCTTGACATCATCAACCTCCTACCACTTTACAGCTGCACACATGAGATTCCCCTCCGATCGCCTTCTCAGTGGCTTCCCTTTTGTCTGCCTACTCTTCAGGAGCACTTTAAAAAATTCGGCCCCTGTCTCGCGGACATGTCAATTACACGAACGAATTTGTTATTCGTAAAAAAAAAAAAAACAAACTTGGCCTAGCAGGCGCGGGACAACTAGTGGGAGGAAAGCGATGCTCTGCGTGAGTTGCATACGCACTAATTGTGTGTCACAAATCATGTCACGAATGTCACACCGCGAAAAGCTCCCACTGAAACAACTCTACAAACACAGGCTGCACGAGACGCGGCGCAAAAAAAAAAAAAAAAAAAAAAAAAAAATCACCCTTTGAGTGAATTGTTCTTATGGAAAATAAAGGAGAAGGAAAAGGCAGGGAGCAACAGGGGGAAGAAAAAAAAAAAAAAAAAAAAGAAAGTATAAATATAAACACAAGTATACTCACATGTAGGCAACACAAACTTCCACTTAACAAATGTACAAAGTTGATAACACAAGTATCCAAATTTTGTCACATGTTCCTCTGCCTTTTTTTTTTTTTTTTTTTTATACTTTTCCACATAACAACTGCACAAATTTGATAACACAAGTATACAAATATTCTCAAATGTTGCTCTGCCTTTATTTATATTTTTTTTAATACTGTTCCACATTACAAGCACACAAATTTTTTTTTATTTTCCAAACGTTGCTTTTGCGGTAACGTTTTTTTTTTTTTAAAGGTGTACACAACGTTTTACTTAAATTTCACCATCACTTGCTTTTCTAAAATATGGTTACGTTTTTTCCCATTTAATTGTTTACTTCTTCAATGCAGTCGCGTATGTTTTTTTTTTTTTTTTTTAGGCAAAATTCGTTCGCTGTAATGTATATCTTCAAGACGTTGCTTCTCACATGTAAACTTAAGAAGCGAACATACACAAGTAGGTACAAACATAAGCACACGTAAGTAGGTATAAATTCACATACATAAGCATTTTCATATTTTTATTTTTTATTTTTTTAATTTTTTCCCCCTCTTTTGACACATTTATGAATTTCCACAAACAATAGGGTGTGAAGAATTATTCTTTTTTCGGGGAATATATAGTACATTTGCGTAAGGCGCGAATTCATTTTGTAGGGAAAAAAAAAAAAAAAATGCAGTGATTTTTATTCGAGTGAGGGACATAGGTATCGAACGAATTCTCATGTGCATGCGTACGTGCCTACGTATGTATGCATTTATGTACATATGTGTACATATGCACGTAAATTATTCGCGCGTGGACGCACAAGGATTTAACTGTTTCTTCCTCGGGGAAATTGGGAAATTGTGACAAAACTGCAAAATTTTAAACAGTGCGCTGAAAAAAAAAAAAAACAAGGGGCTACTTTTAAAGTATTTTTTTTTTCACAATTTTGTAGAATTCAAGAAAAATCACTTCACTTCTGCATAAATGAAGGGAAAAACAGAATGTAGATTTTTCCTCCTTCACGCTGTCGCACGTAAAATCACATCTTTTGCAATATTTTTGCTTACCTAAATGGGGCACGCGTACGTATGTACACATGCGGGGTAAGGCATACACACAAGCGGTAAAGTGTGCGCATCACGTGGAGTAAATTCCCTCGATCGCAAGTGCAGCCCGTATGCCTATGCACATGCACATTTTGCATACTCGCATTTATATGCTTATCACGCTCATGGGCAATGCGGCTCCAACGTAGGCGCGCCTGGATTTCACTTTAAAGGTCCTTTCCATTGGGGGTGTGTCTTGTTTAGGGGGACAAAAAAAAACAAAAAATAAAGTTCGACCACCATAGCACGCACTAATGTCACTACATAAACATCCTCTACACCTCGGAAGAACAAATTTGTAAAACACTTTTTCCATAAACTATACCTACATGGAAAAGACAAAAATGCTAAATAAAAGAAAAATATTAATTCTCCGCAATATTTTAGCGCACACCGCTGAAAGGGCATTTTGCCAAAAAAAAAACAAAACAAAATTGACGCTAATTTTGGTTACCCAGTTTGTACTACCTATTCAGATACAAGACATGGGTGAAGACCGTATGGGTATCCTCTTTTTTTTTTTTTTTTTCTTCTTTTTGCAAGTCTGCAGGGTTGACATGTTAGAAATGCTACCTGGTAATACTGCTACTTGAAAATGTAGAGGACCGGGGCACACCCTTTTTTACCTTGTCGCGTGGCCCAGCCCAAGGAGAGCGAAGAGAAATTAAAGGTGCCCAACCGAATGGCGCACGTGCTCATTCAGAACGAACCAGGCAACTGTGTTAATCCGTCGCGTAAAAAATGCAGG